TCTCAGCTCGTGATCAGCCTTAGCCTTGAGAAGAATCCTTCTGCAACGGGCCTCCTCCTCCCGGTATACCCTTTTGTCTATTTGCCCCAGTACCCATTTCCTACAGAGGTTCCTCTTTTGTCTAATCCCTCTAACCACCTCCTTTCGCATCCATGGCGGCACTCTCCTCCGCCTCCCCACCTTACTGACTAGAGGTGTCGTCAAGGCTTGCACCTCCAAAACCTCCCTTTTGAGTGCCATCCACCCCTCCTTAACTCACTTACCTTCCAGCAACCTATCCCAGGAAACTTTCCCAAGTCTGGCCTTCAGTTGGCCAAAGTTGGCCCTCTTGAAGTCCCAGCTTCTAGTGCTCGACCTGCTGCACGTCCCCAGTCCCCTGATCTCAAAGCAAAGGATGGAGTGATCACTCGCATCCAGAGCTCCCCTAATCTGTACTTCATCCATCAGCTCCTCTCTATTGGTCAATACTAAGTCAAGGATGTTTTCTCCCCTCGTCATCTCTCGGACCCTCTGTGTGAAAAACCCTCCCTCTATAGCTTCTAGGAAGCGACGTGACCTGGCTGTCACCGCCGAGTGAGTCTCCCAACTAATATTAGGGAGACTGAAATCTCCCATAATTACTGTGTCTCTCCCTCGAGATGTCCTTAGAATCTGGCCTGGCAGGACATCATCCAGGCTCTCATTTGACCTGGAGGGTTATAAGATACCCCCACAGTCAGGTCTCTTTCCCTGTCAAAACCCCTAAGTTTCACCCAGACTGCCTCTGCCGAATCCTGATCTGTGCTGCATTCTATCTCACTGCATCCTATCCCTTTCCTGACGTATAAAGCCATGCCCCCTCCCCTCTTTCCCTTCCTGTCCTTTCTAAAAAGATGAGACCCCTCTATGTTCACATTCCACTCTTGCCTTTCATCCCACCCAGTTTCTGTGATTCCCACCAGGTCATACCCTCCTATTCCCAGGAGAGCATCAAGCTCTTCCTGCTTATTACCCATGCTCCTAGCATTGGTGTACATGCCTCCTCCTCCTGTGGGTGACATGCCTCCATGTCTCCCCGGCTGCTCCTTCCGTGGCCTCTCCCTCAACCCTCTGTCCAGACTTCTTTTATGTAATACTGTGAACAAAAGAAGCCCCTCTTGTTCACTGTCTAACCATGACAGTGAACCAAGCAAGTCATTTTATAAAAATAGACTATTGTAGATGTACACTAACAATATAGAGTGAGACCGTCTCCAGTCAGGACCAGTTGCCATAGCTATCATGTACACCAACTGTATATATTTAGCTTTTTGTAATGATTAGTAACAGAAAATGTCATAGCAGGAAATATTCCGTTACTTTTTGTACATGATTATCCTGACCTATACTTCCTTTCATGACATCTGGTGTCAAAACCTCTGTCTCCAGGCTTATCTTTACCAATTCTGACCTTCTTGACAGAGGTTTATTTTATATTTTCAGCCCTCTTGTGTCTCTCTGATAGAGCCCTCAGTAAATAACCCTTGTTGTTTGGTCATCAGGTAAAAATTATATTCTTCTCAAAGCATGCATTCTTTCATTGATGTATGACCCTACCAAGAGCACTGATAACTACACCAAGTCTACCTTTGTCCAGAGGGACCAAAACAATTTAATCTAATGAAAGGTGTTTCACTGGATCTAATAACATTCCAAGCAATTAAACTGCTACTTAAGGGAAAATATTCCCTTAGGGGAATACAATCCATTGTAGAATCAGTAACAGACCTCCAGAAACCATTGAACCATCAACTAACAGCAAGACCTTCATGTCTGGAATAAATTTTTGTTTATTAACCCAGGCACTGGTCCAGTATTTCCATTGCCTGACTTGATTCTTAAGGAAAACTCCAGACAGCCTTGCCTGCTTACTGAATTGCACAGAGCGTGAGAAGGAAACCTGTAGAGCACCATGACATCAGGTTATAACCCCTCAGGACCACTTCCTGGAAACTGCCTGCCAGGAAGGAATAGAATCACCATAAAATAGTGCCTGGCACCTTCATCTTGGGCAGACCACCAAACCAACAGAATGCATACTTGAAATTCAGGAGGACCAACAGGGTGGCATTCCTTCTGTTGCTTGTTATTATTAGAATATTCAACATGGAGAGCAAGATAATTTCATCCTCAGATCCCAAAGTAGACTGCATCTAGGTATTTTTTATTCAACAGTGTTAGGAGCTCAAGCATCTTGTCTAAAGAGGGAAGTTGTTGTTACAGTCATCCAGGTCCAAAGCATGTTTCAAAGAGAATAATTATATGACCACTGCCTTCAAAGGCCACTCCCTGACAAGCATCAAAGCCTGAGGATACTCAACAAGCTTGGAGCTAGTACAGAATGCAGTAGTTCAGCTCTTGTTAATAAAGGGCAGCCTTTTTCAGCATGGACTAGCTGCCTATTCACTTCTGGGTCAAGTTTAAACTCTGTGTTGTTACATACTGCCAAGTCATCTATGATTTATGGTGACCTATACACTCCAAAATGTCCTGTCCTGCACAGTCCTGCTCAGCTTTTGTAAACTCAAGGCTCAATCCCTAGCGCCAACTTGAAACTGGTTCTCAGTAACTGTCTAGCTCATTTCTGGGTCCACCGGCCTTGGCATTTCAGTGCAGAATTCCAAACTCATCTCTTCTTCAGCTTCTATATCAGAATCCAAGTCAAGAACATTTGAAGGCTGTATTATGGGAGAAGCCAGCCCAATCCTTACACTGTTGACCATAATTCAGTGAGAAGGTAAGGAGGGCTTTACTCAGAGAAGCAACCAAGAGGCCAATGGTAGCCCTAAACTGAGATGGAAGAAACCATCCATGGGACAACTATGCCAGAAGCTCCACAAAGCTGGGCTTTACTGACCAGTGGCAAGAAAGGTATTGCTAGAACAAACCAATACCACAGCCCATTTAGAGTTTGCAAAGAGGTGTGTAAGAGACATAGAAAATATATGGGAAAAGGCGTAGCACAAAGCCAACAGGGCTTATTGCCGTGAAAACATTATCCTCTCAGTGAAGCATGGTGGGGACAGCATGATTTTGAGGGGATGCTTTTCCTCAGCAGGAACTGGGAAACAGGTGAGAACTGAGGGCCATGTACAGAGCAATTTAGAAGAAAACTTTTCAACCTTCAAGGGACCTGGGACTGGACAGAGGTTCACCTTCTTGTGGGACAATGACTCTTAACACACAGCTAAATAACACTGAGAGGTATAAACACAAGATACCGAATATCTTAGAATGGCCCAAGCAAAGCTCAGACTTCAACTGATTGAGATAATGGCAAGACTTCAGCTAACAGAGCTGGAACAGTTTTCCAACTGAGAAGAATGGGCAAACACTGCCGGATCCTGATGCCCAAAGCTTTACCAAAGACAACCTGCAGCTGTAATTGCAGCCAAAGGTACTTCTACCAAGTATTAACTTGGGAGAGGAATGCATATGCAGCTAACAAATGCCAGTTTGTTATTTACATAACTTTTGTGTCAAAATAAAAACATTTGGCATCTTCACCTGCCCAGCAAATGAGGTTAACAGATGGCAAGCCACTGGTGGTTCTGCATGGCCCACGGCCCAACTGGAGTCCACCCAGAGAAAAGCTTTCTGTATGGCAGCTAATTCCTCTAGAACTTCCTGCCTCCGGGGTCAACACAGTGTTGTTTCCCGAACTTACCAAAAATACCTTTATTTCAGAAAGCATTCTTAGATTGACCAGCCACTGCACTTTTTTTACTAATATGCTGATTTAATAAAGTGTTTTATTCTTTTTATTGTTCACCACTCCAGAATCTGTTTAGAGGTGGAATGGTAGATAAATGTTGTAAAAAGATAAGTAAATGGGAAGGGCATGAAGCTGCAGCAGCACAAGCTGTAATGTATGCAACCAATAAATAAGTCTCCTCTTGTGGAATATACATGGCCCCAGCCCCCTGTGATTAATTTAGTTCTGAGTAGAGTATGTGAGTATGGGTATGAGAAATATATTTCTGTTAAATTTTGATCAGGATTTTACCCAGTTCATACATTCCAGACTAAACCAGACTTAGATGCAATCTCAGGCTAGAATTGGTGTCACTTCTTGAGCCTGCAGTGTTATCCACAGACCAAAAGATAGTGCTTGGAAGCATACATACTGGAACTGGACTGCTGGGGTGGGGAACAGGAAATCTGGATTCTAGTCCCCAGTCAGCCATTAAGCTCATTGGGTGACTTTGGGCCAGTCACAGACTCTCTGCCAAACCTATCTCACAGGTTATTGGCATGGGAATAAAATGGAAAGGTGGAGAACCTTGTAAGCTACTTTACAGAGTTCTTGAGAGAAATACAGAGGAGGAGTGTAAATGTAATATAATAATGAGCATCTTTCAAAAATGAGTATGTTGCAAAATTTGGACAATTGATGCACACATTTTGAAAAATATGCATGAAAATAAGCACAAATTTTCATGCAAAAAGGCAAAAAAAGAAGCTCATCATTTGATATGGACTCTAGTCAGAATAAGCTAGAAGATAGAATTTGGAGAACTTCTAGGAGCTTAAGGTTTACTGATTCACAAATCCCTAGTAAAGAGTACCCTGGAGAAGGAGGAGGAGATATGAAAAGGCTCGAGGCACTGTCAGTTTTGTTTCACAAAGGCAGAGAAAGTGCACATTTCCCTCCCAAGAAGACAACATAGAAAGGAAGCCAGTGGAACAATAGTTTGCGGCAGCTTAGCTTAGCTCTTTCTAACAAGCATGAAGTTTTTTCAGAAACAGAGCATATTTGTACTATTTGGTGACAAAAATATGGTGATCACTTTCACTTATGTAGGGATGCAGCATTTTACATGTGTAAAAGTACACCATCAGCTGAACAGAACATAACACAATGGCTGTGTCCACACATAACACCAAGCCATGGCAAAAATGGCTTGTCCTTATGTGTGAATTTAGTAATGTTGAAGTGTGACATGGTACCTTGAATCGCCATGGATAAGGTTTCCACATTTTAACACTGCTAGCTGTTGTGTGTGAATTTAGTTACAATGTTTCTCCATTTCTGCTATGGAGTTTGGCAGCAAAAGCAGCCACAGCAGCAGCATACACTTCATTTTTCACTGTCTTGATTGGCTGCCTTATGCTGCCTTTTCTCTCTGTCTGCACACTGCCTTCTCAATGTCCGGCCACAGCTCAAGAGTATCAGCTGCAGGGCATCACAAAGCACCATCTCCAGCAGCAGTGACCTGGAAGACAGGCACACTTGGCACTCCTCTCTGGTCGCTACACTTTGCTGGTTCTGCACTCTGAAATGGCTGTATGTGTGTTCTACTCAGGGAGCCAGGAGTTTCCTCTTGTAAAGGCAGCTTTGCACAAGATGGCAATAGGCAGGCAGCAATGCTACAGTAGGAATTAAATTTAACTGTAGCATTGCTGCCTGCCTATTGCCATCTTGACGGTTGTTCGCAGGAGAGAAATTATGAGCAACCCATTTCATTACAGCTCTTATTTCAGGGGTAACCAATGCAGAGCCTTCCAGATGTTTTAGACTGTGGCTCCTATTGGTCCCAACCAGTGAAGGGTGGTGGTTAAGAGTAGGACTCACATGATCTGGGCTCTAGTCCCCACTCAACCATGGAGCTCACTGGGTGACTTTGGACTAATCACAGGCTCTCAGCCCAACCAATCTTACAGGGCTGTTGTTGTGAGGATAATATAGAGAGGAGGAGAAGGAGAAATATGTAAGCTAGCTTGAGTTCACTGAAAAGAAAAAAGGCAGGAAACAACTATAATAAAATAAGTCACCATGGCCAATGGTCAGTGATTATAGGAGCTGTGCATTTGCGAGGCCCTAGGTTGCTTATTCCTCTCCTTCATTCTCTCCTTCAATAAGTTTTCATAAATTCTTTTGAGAGAGCAATTGAATTGTCTAACCATCTCACACATATTTATGAATGGCAGCATAAAATTCCGAGCTTGTGGCACAAAGCAGAAGATAGCACAAAACTTTGGCATAAGAGTTTCTTTCTGTGGATATAAAAATGTTAACTAAGGTGTCAACAAATAATTCCATGTGGTTATGTTGGTATACGCTTCTGGCTAGTGGTACAAAACTAGCAGAAACATTTGCCAAAGATTTTGAGGAGATACCGTATTTTGGATTTTGTAGTTAACAAAGGTTGCAACATACAATAATAATTCATACTGTACTAGCTTCTGTACCTGCCACTTTAGACAAGATCTGTGAACATTTGGGAAAGGAGATGAACTCCTAATAGGCTTGTCACTGACTGAATGATGACCAACTTTATCTAGATCCTATCAGTGGAAAAATCTTTCTTGCTTTAGGCTTTTGCATAGATGTTTGGGTTAAAAAAAATCAGGGATAAACAGTTTTCAGTAGTAGAAGTGAGGACATACAACAGAAAAAAGAGAGCTTTACGTGATAATCAATACTCTTCTTAGATATATGCATGTAATATCAAGCCTTCCTCTAGCGGAACATACACTGTATTGATCATATACCATTCAAAATTTTATACCATAAAAATGTCTAGAAAGGGACACCAATAAAATGTTAGGGCATAAATATTATAGCCATATAATAAATATTACAAATACTTTGCTACTGTATCATGTAAACTGTGAGAAATATTTAAAGATAGGGTCCCAATATATGGAACATTCCTAGAACAGAGGACAAACCTCACTTTAAATCTTTCCCAATAAAAATTAACTTTCAAACTTGAGAAAGCCAGTGGGGTGTTTCATTTTTGCATCACAGCATTGAAGATTGTCTTTGTCACTGAATTCACAATGCTGCAACTTTGGAATTACATTATCTGAGCAATATCTGGATATATGTGCGTGTGTGTGACAGTTGTGAACTAGAACATCTCTGTTCATAGCATCATTAAAATGACACTATACTTTTCCAGGCTTAGAAGGAAAAGAAATCTCCCAGGAAAACCGCAGGCAAAGATCATCACAATTACACGACTGCATTTAAGAGCAAAAAACTGAAGTGACAACTGTAGAGGCAGTATTTTCTGCAAAGCAGTAATTGATCATCACTACAGCCAGTTGTAAATTACTGGAAATCATTTATTATTTACTTGGTGAATGTGCAACGTGATAAGGTCAAGGCAGATTCAGACTCTTCCTCAATATACACTAGTATAAAATGTTTATCATCAGTGAGGTATTTAAGCTTGAAAGACTAACAAAATGAGTTGTGCATTGATTTTCACAGCTCATTCTTTTTTTCTTACTTCTACAGCCCTGTCCAAAATGATACATTCTATCTTATCATTAATTTTATTTCAATATTATACTCCATTTTTCTTTCTAAAGTGAAGTCCAATGCAGTTAATATTTTATTAATTTTTACATGTTAAAATGTTCTTTTCCCAGCAAAGCCTCAAGGTGGTTTATACAATTAAATTCCATTAAATTCAATGATTGGTCACAATCCTGGTCCATGAATCCCCTTTCTTCAGGATTATCAAAAATGAATTATGTGACTAATTTTTCAATAGCCAAAATATCAAATTGTGGCAACAACAATCTTTATAAATATATAAACAAATATTTCAAGATAGTTCTGTGTAGAACATCTAATCTCTTTTCCTTCTAGAACACCAGTTCTGAAAGGGTAAATTATACTCTAAAAATATGTTTCCCCTTTTTGGAAAATTACCATTTCTAACCATACAAGGGGAGTCACAAAGTGTGTACAGGATTGTCCTGTAAGTCCTAGTTTCCTAAATCTAGACTGGTTACCATTTCCCCTTTGATGGCTTCGCATTTTCCTAGGTAGCATATAATCTCCCATGGCATTATCCCAGCTGATTCTGTTTTGGAAGGAACCACATAATAAAAAACTTTTACATTTTTACTGAAGCAGCAGGAGACTCCAGCCAGGAGAACAGCAGCAATCATCAGTCTTCAATTTTACACAGCAAAATGTATGAGTTATATCACCAAGGCACACATTTTCCTTAAATTAACAAGTGACATGGCATTGCATGGTAGCAGATGTCGAAAGATGTCGAAAGTACTTACATATTCATTAGCTCTTGAAAGACATCGCTTTTCATTGGAAATACAAAGGTATTAATGACTGATTTTAAATACTCCAGAGAAACAAATCCGCTCCGACCAACATCAAATGCTCTGAAGGCTTTTACAACATCTTCATAGGCTGAACGCAGCTGTAAAGAATACAATTTATAAAGATCAAACTTATGAAGGTTTCTGAAGCCATTAAAAGGGTTTTATTTTAAAAATTCCCCTATGCTAAGATACATTCAAAGAAATTGATCTGCATGCTCTGACCATGTTTAATTGATATCCTTACTAGATTGCAGTTTTCCCTAACAGACAGGCTCAAAAAGAAGGTAGCTGAGCTTCAAAAGGATAGTCTTCCCTTATTCAATCTTCATGAAGCAAAGCACATACAGAACCTCCAGCTGAGGACATTAGGGCCATGATTCTGGCTATTAAAATTGGACTTGAGAATAATAACATGAAATGGAAAGTGTTGATGCACATAGAACACTGAATAGATACCCAAGAAACTATGAGTGAAGTCAAACATTCCAATGTATGGCAGAATTTTTTTGAACATATATGTGCCTTTAAAACATTTTAAAACTGTTTTCTTGTCAGGATAGAGAAAGTTCAATTACACTTTCATTATACATAAGTATTACATTTGTATTCTCCATATGCATATTATCTCCTTTTTTGCTTATGCTTCAAAACATATGAAGGCTACAGTTAAAGAGGCTGCTGCAAGTACATTGCATTTTGCAATGAGCAGAAAGAATGTTTAACAGCTACGAGATGCATAGACTCCAATACATGTTGTCCCTTCATATGAATTCACACCTCAAAACTGGGGGAGCAGAGGGAAAGACCAACTGAGTCCACAAATAAGTGGATTCCAGTTAGACATTCTGTTCAAGAAGTAAATACAAAATGGAGTACATAGACGGTAACCTAAGCACCTCACACAGAATTTTTTTTTAATGTTTAAAAAATTATATCCCACTTTCCTTTTAAAAAATGCAAACCAACTAACTCAAAGTAATAAAAGCAAGACCAGACAAGAATACAACCAAGAAACAGAACATAACACAGCAGATAAAAAGGGGCCATGAAGGCCATTATTAATAGCTACCATCCATGATAGCAAGTGTTACCTCAAAATGAGGCAGTAAGCTCATTAGTGCTTGTTGCTTGGCAACATGAGCAGGAAGGTTCTACTGCACTTCTGTCCTGCATGAAGGTTCCCAACTGGCCTCTGGTTCATTGTTATGGGAAGAAAACACTAGACTAGATAAGCCTTTGGTGCAATATAGCATGGTTCTTCTCACATTCTTAAGAAAACAAAAGAAAAAGCATACGATTCAATCAGCCAGCTCCCAAAGTCTCCCTAAAAGTCACTTCTTTTATTTTCCCAATATTTTAATGGTTAGATTTTTATCCCCATTTTTATATGTATAATGTAGCTCTAAGATTGATTATTAACATAGAAACATAGAAAAAGAGCGAGTCAGAAGGGGCCTCCCAGGCCATCTAGTCTGACCTCCGGCACCAGCCACCTCCGCTCACGACATGCCCACCATGTGCACGTCCAGCCTATCCTTGAACACCCTCACCGATGGGGCCTCAACAACCTCTCGTGGAAGCCCATTCCACCCCCTCAGGGTCCTGTCAGGAAGTGCTTCCTGGCATCCAAATGGAACCTTGGTTCCCTGAGATTTGCTCCGTTGGAGCACGTCCTGCCTTCTATTATAGCTATGGTGGCTATAATAAAATATTGTAATATTGTACTAATATTGTAATATTGTATTTTATGGTAACTTTATAAAGATTGTTTTACATTTTGATTTGTAAACCAACCAAATCAAGAAGCCTTTAAGTTGATGGCCCTGTAAAAATATAATAAATAAATAGTTCACACTATAATAGGTGACAAAGCAAAAGTAAAGACATAGTCAGATGGGCTTAGGTGAGAGGGCATTCCACAGGGTTGAAGCCAAGCAGAAAGCCTTGCTCCTTGTATTCATGCTACATCTCAGTTGGCTGGGGAACCTGTCAGAGCACCATGGAGTACACAGGATGTAACTTCTGGGAGAAGATGATCTTGAAGTATGTAGGTAAAGCCAGTACAACCACTATGGTGGTAAAAATATCACTGTAATACTACAGAGTTGAAAAATGGTTGCCATTTAATGGTTTCCCCAAATTTATTATATTTACCTAAGGACAGGCCCAGTGGTAAAACCTTTCTTATTTAAAAATAAAGAAAACACACTAACAGTAACATATTGCTGCCTAAGACAAGACTGGATATTAGAAACATTAGGAAATTTCCAAATACACTGATATGGTTCCTATTTGCCTTCTCTGGGTGAGTAAAATGTTGATCATTACTTGTGTAAATCTCCCTTATATTTTCCAAAGACCTTACCTTTTCCCTAAAATTCTTTGCAGTGGTATCTAGATGGATTTTTGTTAAATTATATCCAGCAGTAGTAGGTGAGGGTAGTTTTGATTCACTTTTCTTTTCTAGTGGCTCATTTTGGTTCTCCACTGTTAAGAAAAGCTATAGCTTAGTAAAATTGATATTAATATTATTGTTAAAAATAACTCTTAATTACAGCACTGAATATTCATACTCTGCTTTTGAAAGCATTCAGCAAACATTGTTCAAGTAATTTGTACAAGCACCTGCAAGGTAACCAGTATAACTATCTCCATACTTTAGTTGTGAGGGAAAAAGCCATTTCAAATGTTATATAGCAATTATGTTTGCCTATTCTTCACTGCTGTCAATATTAGTGCTACCTACTTATTGCATGAAAGGCAGATGCGAGTATTGCTGGGTCAAAATTATGAAAGGCTGAAAATCTGGTCTTAAAGTATGGAATTAAATATGCAGCCTACATACACCAGGGACCAGCAACTACTAAATGAGTTCTTGTATGTGTACTGAAGTGTGGATGCACTGTTTATTTAATTACTTACAAAACAAAACAGCAGTATACACTTGGCAAACCTGTCTAAAGTTTGCATGTCTATAAAAGATAATGACTGGGTTCAAACAACATGATAATCCACACTCAAGTACTGTCTATGGGTTGGGTGTGGACTTCCATTAAACTCAGATGCATTTGCAACCCATGGCTTGTTCACCATGAATATCCCATGGTTTATGGGTTCTTCACTGTAGTTTCAACAATCACTCACAGGTAAGTTGCAAAGGTAGAGACTGGTGGTCAAACTGCACATTGTTCCAAATACATAACTATAAATTATGCTAATTATGTAATGTGTAGCCACCTATGGATTTTCTCTTCATTTAAAAGCATGAAGGATGTTTTTTCCTGCCACTATTCTGTGCACAGAGAATAAACAGGTAGTACTTTTTAGAAATAATAATGGGGAAGGAGGAGGTTACACCTCTTTTTTGACCTGGATTTCTCTCCACTCCTGGTGCTTGCTTTTAAGTAAACAATTAAAGAACTACATATTTAATATAATGCTGCATACAAGCAGTGGGTCAGACTCCTGAAGGCTACAAGAAAAGGAGTAGGAAAACACGGCTGCAGAAGACTCAGGTTCAGGAATCAGTCTTGAGGCAAAATTTACAGATGCCAGAGCAAATCACCAGATTTTCCTGGTAAACTACTGAACACCTAGCCAGTCTGCATGTAGGGCTGCTCAGTAGCCGAAACCAGTTCAAAGGTTCCCTGCTGCAGTATTGAGTCCACTGATGGCTTGCCCCTTCATGTCCAACCACTTCATAAACTCTAATTCCCAGCTACCCTGTTTTTCACGATTCAGTAACTGTAGAGTTTCTGAGCTAGTCACAGCTCAGAGAGGTGAAGGTTTCAAAGCTTTGGAGGACAGGAAGCTATGCAATTCCAGAACATGCCTAGAGGAACCCCTCTCGTCCAAATGAACTCAAGCTAAGTCTGCCTGACTGGTAACAGCCCTGCCAGTCACATGGCAGTGGGAGGATAGTTCAGTCTCTGCACAGTTCCCTAGAGCTGTCAGTACCAGCATCTGGTGGCTCTGCACAACTATCTTCCAAGCTATAATTAGCATCTGGACTAAAAGCAAAGAAGTATTTTCCATTTTCATGTGATTTGCAAAATATTGCTCCACATTTTATGTGCAAATTATATTATGAAAATCAAAACTTGTACTGAACTCAGCTGCAGTAGGGACTTTTTAACAGCATGAGTTTCTCTTCTCATATTTCTATGCAATGAAAAAGTACCAGTGGAGGAAACTGCAATTGCAAGAAGACTCCCAGGAATTGCTAGATATTTCCATAAATTAGTTTTAGTCTGCCTTTCTACCAAATCTAACCCCAAGGCTACCACCAATAAGGGGCAGAAGGTTTGCTTCTGATTTCTCCCCACAACAATCACAGCAGAATAACATTATCCAAATGGGCTGGGGGTGGGCAGACTTGACTGAGAGCCAGTGTGGTGTAGTGGTTAAGAGCATGGGACTGGGACTCAGACGATCTGGGTTCTAGTCTCCGCTCAGTCATGGAGCCAACTGGGTGACTTTGGGCCAGTCACAGACTCTCAGCCCAGCCTACCTTACAGGGTTGTTGTGGGGACAAGATGGAGGAGGAGAATGATGTAAGCTGCCTTGAGCCCTTTGTAGGAAAGGCAGGATATAAATTGGAAAATAAATAAATTGGAAAATAAATTCCATTTGCCAAAATCTTGAGAAGAATCTCTTTCAACAATTGTTATGCTTTTTTATGTCATCGCAGTAAAGCCTACTGTTTACCTGTATGACATAAGATGCAAAAAGAGGAAAACCAATGTTGTATTTATCTCAGTTATACTTGTGCATATTATAGCACCAGTATTGTTAAATGTTGCTGCTGTTATCAGCATTCAAATCTCAATTGAGTATTATGAAATCTCTCTTGCAAGTCAAGGAGTAAACAGGGAAGTAGTTTGAGGAGATCTCATCTTTTAAAAACTGTTTTTCTTCAGTGTTTTAGTGAATTACATAAAATGCACACACACATTACTTTTTTCTTTTAAAGTCATAATTTTCCATTTGTTTGGGGATTGGCAAGGCTAGATTTCTGTATGGCATTTGATTCTACAGCCTCTGGAGAACTTTCAGAAGGTATTTTGCATGCTCAAACTGCTTCAATGGGAGTTAAATGAAAGCACTGATTTCCTTGAGGATCTGGCCCATTTCTGCAAGTTACCTTAAAGTATCGGTTACATTAAGCTCAGCCTCAGCTATTTTCTTCCAACTCAGTTCCCTCTGTAAATCTGTCTCTTCGCTCCCCACACAGTAGATACTGTTCTGTATTTTGACCACTGCAGTGTTGAAAACTGACATGGCACAGTGCTTAATTTCTAATAAAGAGATGTACCAAAGCTCAAGGATACACCTCTCCACCCTGAAAGCTAAAGTAGCAGCTAGGAATGCAGGCTGGGAGGTCCCTAGCACTAATAATACCTCAGGAAATGACAAGAGGAAATCTCAAAGGTGCAGAGGAGGTAGTTGGCTTATTCATATCCAGTACATTCTGACATAGGAGTTCTTTCCTAAGGAATCGTGACCTAGTTTCTTCAGAGGAACTGCTGAAGCAGCATTATTATATATACAAAACATGGTCTTATTCACTAAGATGACTTCTGAAAAACTATGATCTTTCAGGCTCAGCTCCTCCCATGTTACACAACATAATACAACCTGGTCTTTGATTCTCTTGAGGCCCTAGTTTGAGTGGACACACCAGTAAGTCAGGCTGGTGGCTCTAAGGGAAATGGCATTCTTGGTGGTGTCACCCAGCTACAGAATAGCCTACCCAGACAGATGTGCCTGGGAGCTTCTTGTGGTCATTTCCACCCTGGAGGAAGATATTCATAATTACCAAGGCCATTTCAAAAGTTATACATCCAAATTCTCAGTGAGCGATTCAAGTTTTATTACTTGTACTGTTGAGCTGATTATATTCTTCCTTCTGTGGGGGAAACTATACTTCTCTTTATTTCTGTGAGCTGCACATGGAGCACGATATTGGTCAACCTATATAAATCAATCAATCAAGCCAGCAAGCAAGCAAATGGCATTTTTGAGGTAATGTATGTGAAATGCTTGAAGTGGCCTATATAAATACTCTTATTCCTACCATTGAAACCATTCCCCCACAAGGAAGTAAGTTTGGTCACAGTCACTTTGTAGCGTACATGTTCAGAGGCACTCTTTTATTATTATACCACATATCCAAGGGTATTCATATCTATTTTATTTTCTGCCTCTCACTGAGATAGTAAGCTTGTGTTGGGGTTGTACCATTTCAAACTGCAAACAGAAAGGAGGATCACATGACTTTGAATTTCCCTTCAAACAAAACATTCATCTGGATACCAGTTAACTAACTTGTATAAACTGGACCTTAGTTAATGAGTGGTAGTGACCTAGACCTTGCAGACCAGTTCATAATGCTATGAAAACAGAAATGTGAATCCAAGGCTCACTAAGGAATTTCTGTGTGCTGCAGAGAATTCAGGTTTCTTGATTGACAAATCTGTAATGAAGGCAGAAAAATTCAATTGTTCCTCTTTTCAGAACTTCTATTCTGCTCTATTCAGCACCTGTATAGAGAACACTGAGTGTTGCTTCTCTGAAATGCCTTATAGACCCTTATAAATATTAATCAGAGAAAACACATTTTTATTTGATTTTAGCAAAGACATTACTTAATGCTGTGCCATCCAATCTGCTTACAAGTATCTACCTGATTCTTGACTTTCTGTAGTTCTTTTCTTTTTTTTGTCCAAGTGCAGACCAAGATATTGCAAAAACTCTTTATAATTCAGTGTATTGGTTCTACAAATACAATATCGATTCCACAGCCTAAAAAAGAATTAAACAATTTAAATATATCTAAGGTAAAATACTATATATATCAAATATTTACATCTTTATAAAAATTAATATAAGAATTATAGTAAGGATTGAGTAACACTTTCTCTTTAATTTGTATGTTGTTTTCCCTCTGAGAGTATCTGTTTAGCATGGTTAATCCATTTGGTGGTAGAAGATTGTTTATGGTGTAATATGCTTAGTTTATTTTTTTTAAAATTATATTCCCCATGCTTAGTCGAATAGCCTGGGGCAGTGTGTCATGCTAATTGATCCATTTTTCAAGCAACCCTAAGTAGCATTCAATGGTTTGTGTAACCCTCCCATGTTGTTTCTTAGGTGATGTGACTCACAAAAACATGGACACACTCTCACAGTAACTGTTCTCTTGTGGACATCTATTGTCAAAATACAATAATTCTGAATTGAGTGGCAACTCTAAAAACATCAACATTTTGTCTGGATCAGATTGAGGTGATCTCGTCTAGTCAGCCACAGGCCTTCAACTGTTGCTTATGATCTTCCCAGAAACAACCAGCTTGTCTTGCCTGTCCCCAGTCTGTGGGGCTAAATGGGAGATTAAATGGGAAATGCATTTATTTAATAGCCTTTTAACTACTTTTTAAATGAAAAGCAGTTGGAGAGATTGCTAATTTGAGGGAACTGACTGAAGCTATATGAGCCTTTTACCACCAGTTTTCTTTTTCTGCTCAAGATATATTTCTCTCTCTCCCTTGCCACGCACCCATCATACTCCTGTAATTCAATCTGGAGGAGGGTGTGGATACACCTCACCTTTCCATAGGTGGAAAAATGACGAGGGGTGCAATCTACATGGGAAAAGCTTAAACAGCACTAGGATCACCATCACTTACCACCCTTCTGTCATTCAATCTTTCAGGATCCTAAGCAGCCTTTCAATAGAAATAAATGTAAAAGCAGAGGCACAGGTCTTCCATGTAATGTGTGATCTGGTCCTGACATGCCTTGATATTCTGTCTCTGTAAGTATGGGGGTCCCAGTTAGCTATCAGAGCTGACAACTGGAACTTGTGACAAAATGCTGCATTATCTTTCGGAATTAAGAAGAGCATTCATGTACAGAGAAACTGCCAGTCTGGAATAGGCTTAGAAACATAGAAAACAGAGCGAGTCAGAAGGGACCTCCCGGGCCATCTAGTCTGACCTCCAGCACCAGCTGGCTCCGCTCACGACATGCCCACCATGTGGACGTCCAGCCTATCCTTGAACACCCGCACCGATGAGGCCTCAACGACCTCTCGTGGAAGCCCATTCCACACCCTCGGGGTCCTCACTGTCAGGAAGTACTTCCTGGCATCCAAACGAAACTTTGGCTCCCTGAGCTTTGCTCCGTTGGAGCGTGTTCTGCCTTCCTCTGCAGGGGAGAACAGGTCTCTACCCATCTCCATGTGACATCCCCTCACATACCTGTATGTCGCCAACAGATCCCCTCTGAGTCTCCTCTTCTCCAGGCTGAAGAGACCCAGTTCCCTCAGTCTCACCTCATACCCCATCCCCTGCAAACCGGCCACCAACCTTGTGGCACTACGCTGCACTGACTCCAACTTGGCTATATCCTTTCTGTAATGAGGGGCCCAAAACTGAACACAATACTCCAGTTGCGGACGCACTAGAGTCGTGTAGAGTGGTAGTAATGCCTCTCTTGATCTAGAAGCCACACTTCTGGCTATGCAACCAAGGGTGGCGTTCGCCCTCTTGACCACCGCATCACACTGCTGACTCATGTTTAGCCTGCAGTCAACCTGTACCCCTTCACAAGTGCTGCTCTCCAGTCACTTGTCACCTAACCTGTACTTACGACACCTATTCCTATGCCCCAAGTGCAAGACTTTGCACTTATCCACATTGAACGCCATCCTGTTGTCTCCTGCCCACTTCCATAGTCTGTCCAGATCCTTTTGGATCTGGAGTACCTGCTCCTCAGTTGTGGCCACTGCTCCAGTTTTAGTATCATCTGCGAATTTGATCAGCAGACTGTTCACCCATTCTTCCATGTCATGAATGAAAAGATTAAACAGGATCAGCCCCAGGACAGAGCCCTGGGGGACCCTGCTTGTCACTGGCCACCATCCCGATGATTCCCCATTAATGGTTACCTTCTGCTTTCGGTCAGTCAACCATGCCCTAATCCAGAGGACAGTGCTTTGGCGTATCCCAAAACTCCTCAGTTTCTCCACCAGGATATCATGGGGCACTTTGTCAAAGGCCTTGCTGAAATCCAAGTAAACCACATCCACTGCATCCCCTCCATCTAGCCATCGCGAAACATTGTCATAGAATTCCACAAGGTTTGTCAGGCAGGACCTGTTTTTGCGGAAGCCGTGTTGTGTGGCTGTCAGCCTCCCTTCCCTATCTAACATCGCTAGATCTCTCTCAATTATGAGCCTTTCCATTGTTTTTCCTACAATGGACGTAAGGCTAACCCGTCTATAATTCCCCATGTCCTTTCTACTACCCTTTTTGAAAATTGGGACCACTGATGCCACCCTCCAGTCCTCTGGAACTTCACCCGTTCTCCACAAGCTCTCAAAAATGGAGGCCAGCGGGTGTGAGAGAACCCCTGCCAACTCTCTAAGTACTCTTGGGTGTAACCTGTCAGGGCCTGGCGCCTTTGTAATGTCCAATGCCTTGAGGAGCCCCTCGACTTCAAGGGGGGGTGACTCTAATCTGTGCCCCTAAGTCCCCAGCCTCATCTAATCTCCTATGCGGAGCTCCCCCATCCTGCTTTCGGGAGAACAAAGAGGCAAAATAGTCAATTAGCATCTGTGCCTGTTCCCTCATATCAGTCACTGGATCTCCTTCCTCCTTATTTAGTGGTCCCACCACTTGTCTCCCCTTCCTCTTCCTATTTACATGCAGAAAGAAGCCCTTTTAATTGCTCTTGATATTCTTGGCAAGTCTCAGCTCATAATCAGTCTTAGCCTTGTGAAGAATCCTTCTGCAACCGGCCTTCTCCTCCCGGTATACCCTTTTGTCTATTTCCCCCAGTACACATTTCCTACGGAGGTTCCTCTTTAGTCTAATCCCTCTAACCACCTCCTTTTGCATCCATGGCGGCACTCTCCTCCGCCTCCCCACCTTACTGACTAGAGGTATCGTCAAGGCTTGCGCCTCCAAAACTTCCCTTTTGAGTGCTATCCATCCCTCCTCAACTTGCTTACCTTCCAGCAACCTATCCCAGGAGCCTTTCCCCATTCTGGCCTTCAGTTGGCCAAAGTTGGCCCTCTTGAAGTCCCAGCTTCTAGTGCTCGACCTGCTGCCCCTCTGTAGTCCCCTGATCTCAAAGCAAAGGATGGAGTGATCACTCACATCCAGAGCTCCCCAAATCTGTACTTCACCTATCAGCTTCTCCCTATTGGTCAAGACCAAGTCAAGGATGTTTCCCCCCCTCATCGCCTCTCGAACCCTCTGTGTGAAAAAAGCTCCCTCAATAGCTTCTAGGAAGCGACGTGACCTAGCTGTTACCGCTGAGTGAGTCTCCCAAGTAATATCCGGGAGACTGAAATCTCCCATAATTACTGTGTCTCTCCCTCGAGATATCCTTAGAATCTGGCCTGTCAGGACATCATCCAGGGTCTCAAGTTGACCTGGAGGGCGATAACATACCCCCACTGTCAGGTCTCTTTCCCTGTCAAAACCCCTAAGTTTCACCCAGACTGCCTCTACCGAATCCCCATCTGTGCTGCATTCTATCTCACTGCATCCTATCCCTTCCCTGACGCATAAAGCCACGCCCCCACCCTCTTTCCCTTCCTGTCCTTTCTAAAAAGGTGACACCCTTCTATGGTCACATTCCAGACTTGTCTTTCATCCCACTAAGTTTCTGTGATTCCCACCAGGTCATACCCTCCTATTCCCAGGAGAGCTTCAAGCTTTTCCTGCTTATTACCCATGCTCCTGACATTCGTGTACATGCATTTAACTCCTTCCCACCGCTTTCTTTCCTTGGAGTTCCCAGCCTCCTCCTTCCTCACATCCTCCCTAATACCTGGTCCCTCTCTGAAGGAGTCCTGTCAGTCCCTGCAGTATCTCTGCTCCTGCTCCCAAAACCCTGATCCTCCCCCCACACTTGTCCAGTGCAGACATGTTACTGGGGGGCCTGAACCCGCCCCCAGCTCAGTTTAAAGTCTTCCAGACGAAGCTTGCTAGAGCATCTCCAAAGACCTTTTCCCCATCGTCGTGAGGTGTAACCCGTCCTTTGCCAGAAGCCCACTGGCAAGAAACTGAGTGCTGTGGTCGAGGAACCCGAAGCGTTCCTTCTGGCACCACACCCTAAGCCAGTTGTTCACCTCCTGTCCCTTCCTGGCCCAAATCCACGGACAGGTAAGATTGACGAGAAGGCCACTTGGGCCTTCTGCTCCCTGAGTTTCTTTCCCAAGGCCTCAAAGTCCCTGGTGGTCCCAACCACACCCTGCCTGGCCACATCGTTTGTGCCCACATGGATCACCAGGAGCGGCTGGTGACCCCTGGAGCGAACAAGACGCTCCACTCTGTCCTTCATATGCCGGATGAATGCGCCCAGCAGGCAGCAAACCTCCCTTGTCTCCAGGTTGGGGCGGCACACCGCCGGCTCAGTGCCCCTCAGCAGGGAGTCCCCAACAACAATCACCCGCCACCGTACCTTTCCGGTGGTGCTGGGCGGCCGTGCCCTGGCCCTCGCCTCTCCTGCATCGGCCCCCTTGCCGCCTGACATCCCAGGCTGGGGGTCCTGCTGGTCCCCCGAGGCCTCATCAGCCCCAGCCTCCCCAAGTGGAGAGAACCTGTTTCCCAGCTCCAGATTGGTGCCAGGAGAAGGAGGAGGCCGTGCTGTCCTCCTCCTCCTGTGGGAGACATACCTCCATGCTTCCGCAGCTGCTCCTCCCGTGGACTCTCCCTCAACCCTCTGTCCAGAGGGGGGCTGCTCCGGGGAGGCCTGGAGAGCTCTCTCGGCCCTCAGGCACCTCACCTCCTCTTCTAGCAGGGTCACCATCTTGCACCGAGGGCAAGTGCATCCCTGCCTTTCCTGGGGGAGAAGGGTGAACATGTCGCAGCTCTCGCAGCGGACAGCAACACCCGTGACTCCCGCCAAGGCCATCTCCTGGTCTGCCATCGGTATCCCTTCCAAGACCTTACCTTGGTCCCCTGCCTTGTTTGTCCTGCAGTTCCTCTCACTCGCCCAGTTCTCCCAGACGAAAACCCACTCGCGCACACACACAAGGATAAAATAAACTTAAATTTAAATTGGAAGAAAAACAAAGCACAGCACAGAACAAACAAAACAAACAAACAATCAAACCTCTGTGTCTCAGGGGAGGGAGTCTCCGGGCAGCCCGGGCCGCAGCCAAGGGACGATGCCCCACCCCTCTGCTCCCTCCCGGCTGCTCTAGCCTCCCTGGCCCCGCCCCTTCCTCTGTGCTGCTCCTGGCCCTCTGCTCCGCTGCCCAGCTCCCACCTTGCCTTCGCCAGTCCCCTGGTCACTCTGCACTCTCTCCCAGCCTCTGCCCCTGCTGCTCTGCCAAGAGGCCAGAGCCAAACGCTTCTTGGGAACAAGAGGAGTTTCTGGAATGAGGAATAAAGGAACATTTTCTCTCTCCCCGTCCTCACCCACCATGGCCATCCCCTGCTGTGCACACTGCCTCTCCAAATCTGAGCATTTTATATCTATATAGCAAGAGCGTATGGAGTTCTAGAGAAGAGGTAAGGAAAAGGTGTCATTTTTCTTTTCACTTTGTGAAACAGGGGTCACCTCTCCATAATCCCCATCCAGGAAACTTATAATCTGCTGTTTAACATCTATATGAAACCGCTGGGAGAGGTCATCAGGAGGTGTGGGCTACGGAATCATCAGTACGCTGATGATACCCAGCTCTACCTCTCATTTTCCACTAATCCAGGTGAGGCAGTGGCTGTGCTGAACCGGTGCCTGGCCGAGGTTATGGGTTGGATGAGAGCCAATAAACTGAAGCTCAATCCAGACAAGACGGAGGTCCTGTTGGTTGGCGGATCAGGCTTCAGAGAGGGTGGATTTGACCTGGCCCTGAATGGGGTTGCACTCCCTCTTAGGGACAAGGTCCGCAGCTTAGGAGTACTCCTCGACCTGGAGCTTTCATTGGAAGCTCAGGTGACAGCGGTGGCGAGGAGCGCCTTCCTTCAGCTTCGGCTGATTAATCAGCTGCGCCCCTACCTGGAGTATGACTGCCTGGCAACGGTGACACACGCACTGGTGACTTCCCGCCTTGACTTCTGTAACGCGCTTTATGTGGGGCTTCCCTTGAAGACGGTCCGGATACTTCAGTTGGTTCAAAATAGAGCTGCCAGGTTGCTGACGGGGACGGGGCATTATGTTCACATGACTCCAATCCTCCGACAGCTTCACTGGCTTCCCATTGAAGTCCGGGCCCAATTCAAGGTGTTGGTTATGACCTATAAAGCCCTAAACGGCTTGGGACCTGGTTACCTGAAGGAGCGCTTATATCCATATAGGTCCGACCACCCCTTGAGATCTGTGGGAGAGGCCCTTCTCCGGGAACCCTCCGTGAAAGAAATTAGGAGGGTAGGTACTCGGAGGAGGGCTTTTTCTGCGGTGGCACCCAATCTATGGAATGTGCTCCCCAGAGAGGTCCTCCTGGCGCCGTCGTTATTTGTTTTTCGGCGCCAGGTGAAGACCTTTTTATTTAAATGTCATTTTAATTGTTAACAATATTCATTTATTCATCTGGCCAGGACAACTTCTTTTCTTTTCTTTCCTTTCCTTTTCTTCTTTTCTTTCCTTTTATAACTTCTTTTATATCATTTATATTTTTTATTTATTTTATATTATTAATTTTAATTTTATATTGTTATTTTTGTATTGTATTGTATTTTATTGTGTTGTAAGCCGCCCCGAGGCTTCGGCAAGGGGCTGCATAGAAATGTTCTAATAATAATAATAATAATAATAATAATAATAATAATAATAATAGACTTTCCAGGGGCTGAAATATGTCCATTCTCTTTCATATTTATCATCCATTATCATCCATTTTCTGAGGCAGGGGCAGACTGTTTTCAGTTTCCTACAAACAATTTATGTTTCACTCATAACTCTTCGTGCTCAGACACAAGCCACTGAAGCCAAATGGCTTCCCCTGCCTGATATCCACATATCAGCTATGCTCATTTTACTGGCACAAACATTTACGTCCATAGGCAGAGTAGGATCCTGCTCCCAAGGCAGCCTACACATGCAGAAGTTCATGTGAGTAGGCTCTTCCCTGCAGACACCCCTGCTTAACACATAGACATCAGGGGTCTGGTCAGGCGATGGCACACATCAAGGTTGGGGGAAGCAGGATCACATGAAGACTCTTTTAAATGAACAATGATGGAAAGGAACTACAGATTGTTTTAGGCTGTTTTAGACCATTCTCTCTTGTTCTCACCTCAGCTACCTGTAAGCTCACATGGTCTTGTCAGGTAGTTTCAACACTGGTATCTATACTTCTCAACACACTTGTATGCTACTGTGCACCAATGTAGTTTCCAGAATATGTAGAAACTGCTCCTTTGTTTTAGGTGGCCACAGCCTTTCACGTTCAAACTGACTGGTGCTAAACCAACCATATTATTAGAAGAAATAATAATCCTACATGAACCCAATCTGCACAACCCATTTGTTAATGCCTTCCCTGTGTAAAATCATGAACTAAGGCCTTCAGGAAAGACTTGATACAAATACAAGGTTTGGTTCTGAGTCCTTTTAATCAAAGCAGTGGTATTCAGAGAGAGGCCTGAGATGCACCAAAGATGCTAGAACATCTGCCCCGCATCCCCTGCCTTCTCACAGTTGTCATAAGATCACTTTTAAGTGAACTAACATTTAATTCCACTAAAGATGAATACAGTTTGTTGTTTCCTACATAAATGTTACAAATCTCTAGCGAATAAATTTTATCATTTTTATTCAGCCTTAAATGCGCCAAATAAAAATTTGTGATCTTTTTAATGATGCTACACACTACCATTGATGTAATAACATCCATACAGATTTATCACATTCCAGTCTTCAATGCCAAGTACAAGATTTATTGTCAAATAAAGCCACATTTTGTTGTTTTTCATTGCCCTGCTTTAGAAAAGCACTACTTCAGTTCGGTAATTGCATGTACCAAATTACATAAATGGGAGTTTTTTGTTGTGATCTCATCCTGGAGAACATCCCAAACACACACACACACAAAAGAGGAACACCAAACAGCAAGGCCAGCTAGTAAAGATGGCCTAAAATTGGATTTGAAGTTGCTGGTAATGAGAGAGATAAAATATTTAGAGCAAAGCAAAACAAATAAATAGTCCATCCTAATTTCTTTCATTTTTCCTGTAGGCTTCTGTCCAACTCAATGTTTCTGCAACTACAGAATAATAAATAAAGCTCCACAGACCTCCCCCACCACTCTCCCAAATGAAAGTCATTCCAAACTCTAAGAGAGTACATTCTGCTCAGACAGAACCATTCACTCTAAGCATATAAATTTCTCTTTCATTCTTCAAACAGAGACAAGATCCTGGCTCCTATCAGAAATCTAGCCTCACACCATCCTGGCCTGAGGTTGGGTCCACCTCAGCAACAGAAATGAAGTGGCAATTAAACTTTCTTCCACTCATTCCCTGCTCCTGAAAATCTACCCTGCTCCCTGTGGAGGAGTTTAAAAAAGGGGAGACACCCTCCAATAACAATTGAGACTTTTCTTCTTCTTTTTTTAGCCCTCACCTACCCAAGAGTGTGTATGTGTATGGAATTTTCGGCAAGAGGGGAACTTCAAAGAAAACAAGCAGCTTTAAGATACACAGGTCATGATGTACCATGTTGCTCGACTGTTAGGTTGTAAAATGAACTGAACCACACCAGCATATATGCAGGGGACCTCTTCTGAATGCTCTGCTACATGGAAACAAAAAACACCCCCAAAAGACTCCAAACAGAACACTAGCACATGGTGAGAAAGATGAATGTTCGCCACTTGCATGGCTATCTCAGAGACCACCTGTCTTTTCATGAACTTGCCTAGGTATTAAGACCTGCAAGAGATGCTCTCCTGAGGACACTATTGCCAGGAGAAGCTCATTTAGCCCATAAACTATCCATTATTCTAAGAATTCACATATCACAGGAGCAGCCGACAACAGAGGAGATCACAGTTTGTAAAACAAAAATGAAAGTGAGGAGTGCATAGGATGCTGTACATTTGCTCACTCCTGCTAGTGCCTGGTAAATCAAGAATTAGTTTGCTGTTATGTGCAAATCAGGTCACTGACAATGCTTAGATGGTTGATCCTAAATGTAAGTAGTTGTGGCAAGGAAAATGTGAACTATTTGGGAAAGATTACTGAGTACTCCAGCCTTAATATAAAAGTACAGTATATTACAGAATATATACAAGAATCCTTAAATTGTTCTTTACTTACTTATCATACTCACAATCCGTCATCCTGAAGCAGTTGACCTCTAGAATTCTTCTCAGCTCATGCTGCTGAATCTGTCCATTTCGATTGTAATCAAAAAGTCTACAAGTCTTGATGAAATGTTTCATCTTTTTGGAAATCTAATAAGCATTTTCCAAAGATAAATGTTAAATTAAGTAAATGGTTGACAATAAAAGCTGAGGTTAAGATATTGGACAAGTAAGTTTCTATCAACAACATATTTCTCTCTTTTCTCCAAATGCTCCAAAAAACCAGAACTCACCAAGATGTAGCACAATCTTTCAGATTTATCCCTAAAGCATGAGAAAACTTTTCATTTACTAGCCATTGTGGAAGTAATTTTCGCTCTATATGATATTTGGGAAAGTTAACATTTTTTTTCAAGAAGTAAAAATTATTTTCAAATAATATTCATTGCTGTTGAGCAAACAGCTTGTACATATACAATACCTTTGTTCAGCTTTTGAAGATTATGGTTTGACTGAGAACAAATTATGTTCAGATGGGGGAGGGGTCAGGCTATTCAGGTAAACTAAGTATTTGCAGTATGAAGTATGCTAATTATTAGCATTCTGCATATGGAAGAGTGAATATCTTTTCTCTGAAACAGAGGAAGTTGTTGCAACTTTTACAAAATGTTCCTTAAGTAGAAATCTGTGACATTCCCTTATTTCAAGAATGGACAGAAAGAACATTCCAGATGTTTTGGACTTCAATTCCCAGCACTTCTGACTGTCATGAAGGCAGGGAATTCTAGGAGTTTATTTGTTTTATTTATTTATTAAAAGCTTTTGTATGCCATCCTATTATACAGAATCTCAGGACGGCTTACAATATTTAAAAGAACAATTAAAATGCCAATTTCTAATAAATTATAAAACAGAACAAACAATAAATTGCAAAGCAAACAGAGACTAAAGGTTAAAAGTTGTTAAATTTTAAAATACACTTTAAATAAAAAGGTTTTGGCCTGGTGCCAAAAAGAGTATAAACTTGGCACCATGCATACCTCTCTGGGAAGTACATACCAGAGTCTGGGCGCCACAGCAGAGAAGGCCCTACTCTGAGTTGAAGACCTTTTTACCTCTCTTAGAAAGGGTTTCCGGAGCAGGGCTTCTCCCGCAGATCTTAAGGGGCGTGAGGGCATATAAGGAAGGAGGTGTTCCTTCAGGTATCCTGGTCCCAAGCTGTTTAGGGCTTTATAGGTCAAAACCAGCACCTTGAATTGGGCCCAAACTTCAACTGGAAGCCAGTGGAGCTGGTAGAGGACTGGAGTTACATGAGAGTAATGGCTGGTCTCCGTCAGCGGCCTGGCAGTTCTATTCAGTACCAGTTGCAATATCTGGACCGTATTCAAGGGCAGCCTCACACAGAGCATGTTGCAGTAATCCAAGTGAGAAGTTACCAGAGCATGTATCACTGTTGCTAAGGAGTGCTCATCCAGGTAAGGATGCAGCTGATGGATCAGTCGGAGTTGTAGGAAAGCCACCGCCACCACCTGGAATTCCAGTGAAAGCTCTGGGGCAAGGAGTACTCCCAAGTTGTAGACCCTGTCCTTTAGAGGGAGTGCTACCCTGTCCAGAACTGGGTTAAAATCACCTACCTGGAGACCCGTACTGCCCACCAACAGGACTTCTGTCTTATCTGGATTAAGGCTCAGTTTATTGGCCCTCATCCAGCCTATTACCTTGGCCAGGCACTGGTTCAATACAGCCACCACCTCACCTGGAGCAGATGTAAATGAGAGGTAGAGCTGGGTGTCATCAGCATACTGATGACTCCACAGCCCAAACCTCCTGATGACCTCTCCGAGCAGTTTCATGTAGATGTTAATTAGCATGGAGGACAAAATAGAGCCCTGTGGAACTCCATGGCAAAGCTGCCATGGCACAGAGCTATAGTCCCCCAGCACCACCATCTGGAATTGGCCAGCCAAATAGGAGTGGAACCACTGCCACACAGTGCCTCCTACTCCCAAGTCAGCCAGCCTATCCAAAAGGATACCATAGTCGATGACATCAAAAGCCACTGAGAGGTCCAGGAGAACCAACAGGGATGCACTTCCCTTGTCCTCTCCCTGCACAGGTCATATTATACAGGGCAGATTCAGTGCCATAACCAGGTCTGAAGCCAGACTGAAATGGGTCCAGATAATCAGTTTCAACCAAGAGTACCTGGAGTTGTCCTGCCACCACCCACTCTAACACTTTGCCCAAAAACAGAATATTGGCCACCGGTCTAAAGTTGGCAGCCACTTCTGGGTCCAGGGATGCCTTCTTCAGGACAGGCTGGATCACCACCTCCTTCAAGGGGACTAGGACCCAGCCCTCTCTCAGTGAGCCATTAATAACCTCCTGGGCCAATCCCATTACTGGCCTCCTTAAGTGGCCAGGAAGGGCAAGGGTCAAGAAGACAGGTGGTAGGACGTACCATCCCAAGCACCTTGTCCACATCATCAGGCCGCAATAACTGAAACTCATCCATTAAAGATGGACCAGATGGAGCTCTGGACACTTCCTGTACTGGAACCATATCAACTGTGGAGTCCAATTCACAGCGAATCTGAGCAATTTTTTCCTTAAAATGTTGGGCAAAGTTGTCACAGCAGGCTGTCGAAGGTGTGACCATGTCATTTTCCTGGCCAGTGTGTGTTAGGCCTCGCACTATTTGGAAAAGTTCTGCCGGATGGCACTGTGAGGAAGCAATGGAAGCGGAGAAGAACTGCCTCTTCGCCGCCCTCACCACCACAGCATAGGCTCACTAATGAGTGTGCAAGTGTGTTCTGCCAAATTGGTCCCGAGATTTCCTCCACCTGCACTCTAGCCATCTCCTAATCTGCTTCATTGCCTGCAACTCAGGAGTTGGTCCAACTTTCTGCCCACACATGCATTAGATCTTCCTTAACCTATACCAAACTATATAACAATATAGCAAGAAGTGCTTATTCAAAATACAATATGTAGCTCTATACTTAGCTTTATACATGATTTCCATTTCAATCTCTCCCTTTGAAAATTCTTTAGTTACTTGAGGCATACTATCCAACATTTCACAGAAACATTCTGGGCTTGATTCTCTGAAAAATGAGGAGCTGCACTTTGAAATCATACCTATCTCTTACAGATGTCAGTAAACAAAGTGTTAAAAAGAGGACATGGTATTCATTACAAAGATAAAACTTTTGCTGGAAACAACGTTAAATCCCCATATATTCTGGAGTGCCCTTTAGGGGAAAGCAGAAGGAGAAGGAAAGTTTTTGCACTTAGGTGTGCGCATGATACTTCCATGCCTCAAGTTGTCCATAGTCATAGGGAATATCCATTTCACTGGCTAGGTTCCATTCACTGGCCCAATTCATATCTCACACTAAGCCACACTGCAAGATAAGGACATATAGCTTGGTTGTTTGCTCATTAACCCATGTTACTCCCAACAAATGATTGTGAATGCAGCTGCTTAAATGTGGCATGCTTCCTCCTCAGTTTTCCAGTTTACTCTCTGCATGTATCACAACAGCCTTTGCAGTATAACTGGTCCTGGCATTTCATCCTGGCCTCCTCCCAACTCTGGCTGCTATCACTTTTTGAAGCACTACAGTCATTCATAAATTTTTTTAAAGGTGTCTCAATATTGTAGAATTGGGGTAATAATTTTTATATATTGTCAGACATCCGCAAGTATGCAAGAGCACAGATTTCGGCTATCCTATGTGTTCTCTGGTCAACTTCCTTGTATGTTTTAGCTATCAAAAGGAGTGTAAAAATGGAGTATGTAACATACATCCAAATAAGAAGATAAGGTGGGCTAATGTGAATACAGTTGCAAAGAACCAGAAAGAAGAGTAGTAAGAGGAAAGAGAGATCCAGTAGCACAGTTCAGAATTACTGAAAACACAGGGTGAGGCAAATAAAGTAGGAGCACTGCAAGAGAAGGAACAGTCCCTGTCTTCCTTGGGAATGATTCACCCAGTTTTAAGTGATGACCTGACACTTCTCAGTGTCTTCCACCTTTCCAGCCCTGCAGTTACTGTAGCTGCACTACTGTACTGTGTGCAAATCCCAACAGTTCCCCACCCCACGGAAATCTGAACAGGAGCCTGCATAGGACAGACGCAACTAAGCATGGTGAATGTAAGTACAGCTGGTGTGAGCAACCCATGGGCTCTACCCTCTCCAGCTATCCACTAATGTTTTTTTAAAAAACTGATGGAAGGAAAATGGAGGAGAAATGTGAACATCTTCAGTAATCATCATCTTTATGTTCCAAAAAAGGAGCTATGAAAATGGGGAATGAGGTAGTACCTTCCATTTCTGTCACAGGTGGAGACTTGGTGAAGTGTTTAAAGCTGGAGTACAGTGAAAGGTGCCAATTCAACCCTTACAATGAGAGCATCATATTGTCAAGTGGGAGATATGGCACCCTCCCTTTGCTGCATTTACTTTGCCCCCCCCCCCCGCATCTCTGAATTGCATTACTCCTTTCCCTTACTGTTACTTCTCCCTTGTACCTTTGCCAATGTGTGCAAACTGACCTAAATTCAGCCTCCTCTTTCAGTTTCCTTGTATTTTGCTCACTCCACTATGATTATCCCTTTGGTAGCTGAAACTTGCAAGGAAATTGACCAAGAAAGACTACACATATGGAATAACCAAATCTGTGCTCTTGTATACTTGCAAAAGACTGAAGAAAATATGGGGGGAAATTACAACCTCATTTGCCTGAGTTTGAGACCCAGAAAAGAAGGTGGTGAATAAGTGATGGTCCTTCCAACATGCCATTTACACTGGTGAAGCAGCAGTCACTGGCAAGTGAGGCCAGAGGGGGCACTGGGAAGATCGCAAGAAATAATATAGACTGTTTTGTGCTGTAGTTACTTGGCATGAGCAATGGCACTAATTCTGGGCATTGCAGCAATCCACTCTTAGAACAAGTTACCTTCAACAAACCCACTACAAGCCCTGAGTACTGAGGGTGGCTTGTGGGGGGAAAATAACCCACACTAGACCACTTTCACTGGGTTCATTCATTACAGTAAGCCATGCTGACCCTACTAGGGGTCATGAACCACCATGTCTTATTGTAACATATGAGCCCACTCACTGAGTAAAGATTGCTCTAA